AGCACTACCTGGAGGACATCCTGGCGCGGCTGGGCAGGCACCTGCACCCGCACCGGCGGCACCACGAGGTGAGGCCTGGCCCCGGTCTCCTCTGGGTGGGGGGGGGGCAGGTGCGGTGGCAGCTGCCTCAGCCTGACCCCTGGCCCCTGGCCCGGCCGGCTGCGGCCTGTCCTCCCCCAGTCTGAGGATGAGTGCGCGCTCGACCTGGACCTCGTGACCGATCTGGTTCTGCACATCGATGCCCGCGGGGAGCCAGGTGGGTGCCCCTCAGCCCTGTGCCCACTCGGCCCTGTGCCCGTGTGCAAGGAGCCGTGGCTCATGCCTGCTGGGCCCGTTACAGGTGGGATCCTCTGCTTCCTGCCCGGCTGGCAGGAGATCAAAGGGGTGCAGCAGCGCCTGCAGGAGGCCCTGGGCCTGCACGAGAGCAAGTACCTCATCCTGCCAGGTGAGCCGCTCTCGCCCCGCCGGGGACCGCCTGGCCCCTTTCTGAGCAGCCTGCCTCCCGTCTGCTGGCGAGGCCCCTTCCCCGAGCAGACAGGGCTGTGCGGGGTGTGCCCGTGACCGTGTGCTCGCTGCCCCCAGTGCACTCCAACATCCCCATGATGGACCAGAAGGCCATCTTCCAGCAGCCGCCCCCGGGCGTGCGCAAGATCGTCCTGGCCACCAACATCGCCGAGACCTCCATCACCATCAACGACATCGTGCACGTGGTGGACAGCGGGCTGCACAAGGAGGAGCGCTACGACTTGAAGACCAAGGTGCGCGCCTCCGGCCGCCAGCCCGGGGCTCCCAGTGCCCCGGCTCCTGCCCCCATCGGCCTCGCTCCTGCCGTGGGCCCCAGGGGCCACCCTGGGCGTCTCCGTGTTCCTGTTGGGGAGGGGCCGGGGAGAGTTGGCTGCTCACCTGCCCCTCCCCCAGGTGTCCTGCCTGGAGACGGTGTGGGTGTCGCGCGCCAACGTGATCCAGCGCCGGGGCCGGGCCGGCCGCTGCCAGTCCGGCTTCGCGTACCACCTGTTCCCGCGGAGCCGGCTGGAGAAGATGGTGCCGTTCCAGGTGCCGGAGATCCTGCGCACGCCCCTCGAGAACCTGGTGCTGCAGGCCAAGATCCACATGCCGGAGAAGACGGTGAGCGGCGGGGCGGGCGGGCGGGCGGGCGGCGCCGCGGGGCCTCGGGCCCGGCTCACGCGCGGCTCCTGCCCCAGGCGGTGGAGTTCCTCTCCAAGGCCGTGGACAGCCCCAACATCAAGGCAGTGGACGAGGCGGTGATCCTGCTCCAGGAGATCGGGGTGCTGGACCAGCGCGAGTACCTGACCACCCTGGGGCAGCGCCTGGCCCACATTTCCACGGACCCCCGGCTGGCCAAGGCCATCGTGCTGGCCGCCATCTTCCGGTGCCTGCACCCGCTGCTCGTGGTGGTCTCCTGCCTCACCCGGGACCCCTTCAGCAGCAGCCTGCAGAACCGCGCGGAGGTGGACAAGGTCAGGCCGCCCCCTCACCCCGGCTCCGCCCCGCCCCTCCCCAAGCGGCCTCCTGCAGCCCCTCCCTGTGCCCTGCCCCCAGGTGAAGGCGCTGCTGAGCCACGACAGCGGCAGCGACCACCTGGCCTTCGTGCGGGCGGTGGCGGGCTGGGAGGAGGTGCTGCGCTGGCAGGACCGCGGCTCCCGCGAGAACTACCTGGAGGAGAACCTGCTCTACGCGCCCAGCCTGCGCTTCATCCACGGTCAGCGCCGCCCACCTGCCCCTGCCCCCGCCCGGGCCCCTGTCCGCCGGCGCCTAGGGGCCCCAGTCACCCCATGTTGCCTCCCCAGGACTCATCAAGCAGTTCTCCGAGAACATCTACGAGGCTTTCCTGGTGGGCAAGCCCTCGGACTGCACCCTGGCCTCGGCCCAGTGCAACGAGTACAGCGAGGAGGAGGAGCTGGTGAAGGGCGTGCTGATGGCAGGCCTCTACCCCAACCTCATCCAGGTGCTGCCCGGGAGGGACTCCCGGCCCGCCTCCTTCCCCCCTCGTCTCCTCCCCCCCTCAGCTCCTGGCTGAGCCCACCCCGTCACCTGCAGGTGCGGCAGGGCAAGGTGACCCGGCAGGGCAAGTTCAAGCCCAACAGCGTCACATACAGGACCAAATCCGGCAACATCTTGCTGCACAAGTCGACCATTAACAGGTGGGGGCAGGGGAGGCGGGGCCCTCGGGGGCGGGGCGGGGGCAGGAGTGGCGACTCACCAGCTCTTCCCCCTCAGAGAGGCCACGCGGCTGCGGAGCCGATGGCTGACGTACTTCATGGCCGTCAAGTCCAACGGCAGCGTCTTTGTCCGGGACTCCTCCCAGGTGCACCCCCTGGCCGTGCTGCTCCTGACGGACGGGGACGTCCACGTCCGAGGTGGGTGCCACGGGCCTGGCGCCCTCTCAGCTGCGCTCGGGCTGCCCCCTCCCGCCCCCCCCCCGGCCTCACCCGCCCCCCTGTCCCTTCCTCCCCAGACGACGGGCGCCGGGCCACCATCTCGCTCAGCGACAGCGACCTGCTGCGGCTGGAGGGCGACTCGCGCACGGTGCGGCTGCTGCGGGACCTGCGCCGCGCCCTGGGCCGCATGGTGGAGCGGAGCCTGCGCAGCGAGCTGGCCGCGCTGCCCCCCGAGGTGCAGCAGGAGCACGGGCAGCTGCTGGCCCTGCTGGCCGAACTGCTGCGGGGGCCCTGCGGCAGCTTCGACGTGCGCAAGGCGGCCGACGACTGAGCCCAGGAGGGCTGTGTACAGAGGCAAATGTTTATTTAAAATAAAGTTCTATTTATCCCTCGTGAGCATCGCTGTCCGTGGGCGGGCACAGGCTGTGCCCCAGGCCTGAGGAGGCGCTAGAATCCACCCCGAGCGTGGCTGCCGGCTCGCCTCCGTCACAGCTGCTCCTGTTGTCCCCCGTGGTGGCCGGTCACAGCTGTCCCTGCCTCGCAGGGGGGGCAGCCAGTCCTTCCCGGTCCTCCCCCCCCCCCCCCCAGGCCGCGGTCAGCCTGGCTGACACCCGCGGGCAGCCGTGGCTCTGGGACCTGCGGCCTTGGGTTATGCAGCGGCCTGGCCACGCCCGGGCCTGCCCTAGGTCGTGGCCACAGCTCAGCCCACCCGTGAGACCAGTGACGCCACCCAGGAAGCACGAGGACAAGGGAGACACCAGGACACAGGAGACGGCTCGGGTGGGACATGAGCTTTATTTGCTCCCGAGATGGTTACAACAGTGGCGACACGGCACGGCCGAGCCCCAGCGTCGGCAATCCAGGACCGTCCCCCGGTGGCTGCAGAGCAGCGCCAGCTCAGGCCTCTGGTCCTGGCCCGTCTGACCTCCGCCCTTGGCTCCCGGGACCAGCGGGCTCACCTCCCCGTCCACAGCTAACGCAGTGGGAGGAGCCAGTCTTGTCAACCTGGGCACCCTCGTCCTGTTAGGTCCACGCGGACCCTCAGGCCGCATCACCCCTCCTGTGTCTCCAGCCCCCCCCCCCGCCTCCTCCCCCTCCTCGCGCCCCTTCCTGTGCTGACCGCCGTGCACAGCCAAGCATCCAGACGTCGAAGACCTGTGCTGCTTGGCATGTGCGTGGAAGCTGGAGGCGTGGGGACAAAGCCCCCACGGAAGGTGCTGCTGCAGAAGTGGGCAGACACCCGCCCCCATTCCATCAGCCCCCATGGTCCCAGCTCTAGGATGGCCAAGGGCAGGGGGGCGAGGTACCAAGTCCGGAGAAGCCATGTCACTACCCACAGGCAGGTTTAATCCTTTATTAGAAACCATGCAAACTTTAATACAAAAAATACAAGTGCAGCCAGAATCTTCGCGTCAGTGATTCCCGGGCTCTGCAGCCCGCCCGCTGGGACCGCAGGCTGGCCGCCACGCCCGCCTCTGCTCCCTCCTCGGGCTCCAGGGATGTGGGGCCTCAGTCTCATGCCTCTGTTTTTCAATCTCTGGACCTGATTCCCCAAATACCCATCCGCATCTGGGGGCCGAGGGTCAAGTGTCCCAGGCCTGCAGGCCCTCCCAGCATGACCACCTCCCTCCAGATCCCAGGAATGAGACCGACGTGCCAGCCCGGCCTCGGTTAGAGAAGCGAAGCGTCATCCATGCCAAACGCCAGAGCCACCCTCCACCTCACCAGCCACTCTGCTTCCTGCGCGACCCGCCCCTGCCCGCCCACACCGCCCGCCGGCCCCCGCTGCCAGGCCTCCTCCTGACCTGGGGTCAGATCACCCCTGCGGGTTCCTTTAAAAACACCTGCTCAGGACTTTCCTTCAGACATGACTTCAGCCTGCACAACCACTCCACCAGTTCTTAGTTACTTAAAAAGGGTAAAACAAGGGGAAAAAGTAGGCAGCAGCTAGAGGCGGGAGCGGTGGGGCAGGCAGCCTGGCCCGCACTGAGGGGGCAGCGCCAGGGCTGGCAGCCCCTGCGGCAGCATCAGTGTGGCAAAGGGAGGCAGTGGCTTAGCGAGCTCCAGGGGGCACTTGGGCTGGCGTCCATGTGGACACCCCTCTTCCCTCCGGCGGACCCAGCAAGGAGGGTGGGTGTGTCCATTTTTATTGGGTTTGGTCCAAAAACCCAAACAAAGAGGAGGGTGGAATCTGGTTCTTCCTATGAGACCCCAAGATCCCATCTGAGCCCAGCTCCCCCGGAGCCGTGATGCGAGGACGGCAGGGGCTGGGCCTGGGGCAGGGGCTGGAGGTGTGGGCACTGCTGCTGCCCTAGGCAAGCGGGGTGAGGGGGGCCAAGAGGCTGCCCGGCACCCAAGTAGCCAGGTCTAGTGGGCAGCCCGGGGCAGGGAGCCAAGGGCCCGGGTGCCTGAGTTGGGGCCACCGAGGAAGTGGGGGGGGCGAGAGACAATGTCAGCCCCATGGTCGGTGCGGGCCTTGGCGTTTGCCCGGAACGTCAGCCTGTAGGTCTCAATCTGCAGGGACACGGGAGGCGGGACGGGAGAGGGAACGAGGGAGACAAGAGGGCGACAGAGGGACGGAGACGAGACCAGAATGCAGCGTTAGATGCCTGGAAGATAAAAGGTCGCTGCGTTAAGACTGGGGCCACGCTCGGCAGCACAGAGGCTGTCTATGCAGCCAGCGGCGGGCCCCGGCTGGCCCAGGCCACGCCCACCACTTACTTGTCTCCTGGATCTGGCAGTCCAAGGTCTGCGCCTCCCTTTGGTCACCACCCCCTGCCAGGGCGGTGTGGCCACTGAGGCCATTGGCTGGAGTGGGGGCGCCAGCTTCGGGCGTGGCCTCGGGCACAGCCGGCTCTGCCCCCTCGGGGGGGCCCGGGCTCGGAGGGGCCTCGCTGCCGCCACCCTCAGTCTACAATGAAACAGTGGACAGTGGGGGGTCAGTCCGAGAGGGAGTGGGATGGCGTGACGGCAGGACTCACACACACAGTTCCCCCTCCGCGGGCCCTGACCCTCTGATTTCAGAGACGCTAGGCCAGGGCCCCCCTTTCACACACCCACAGGGCTCCCGGCGGGGGGCGCAGAGGCAGGGCAGAGCAGGGGCCTCCGCAGCTCAGGGAGCTCTGCTCCAAGCTGCACCCAACGGCAGCCGTGACAGCAGGTCGGCAGCCGCCCAGCCGGTCAGAGAAAGGGACACATGATAACGACGGACCACGGGACGTGGGTCAGAAGGCAGTGCCAACCACGAGGCCTCGGGCAAGTAACTGGACCAGCTAGCGCCCCTGCTGGTGGGTCTGGACGCCCAGGAGGGCGGGACACAGGGTGGGCGGGGCCCAGTGCAGGCCCTTGTGTGCGCGCATGTGCATGTGAGTGTATGCATGTGTGTGCGTGTATGTGTGTGTGCGAGGGGGAGGGGGGCAGGTCACAGCAGCTGCTGGGTCCCTCTCCTCGACTCCTTTCGGGCGAGAAGCTGGAGGTGACGCCCTCTACCCACGGACAACATGGAGGGAAAGACAGACAGCCTCTGGGCACAGGAGGGTCTTACAGGACAGTGGAGGGAGGGAGGGAGGGAAGGAGGGAGGGAGGGAGGATGGAGGAGGGGCAGGGGGAGAGGCCCAGCCAGGCCAGCGGGGTCGCTCTGCAGGGAGCGAGTGCTCAGCACCCGGTCCCTCCAGAGCCAGGCCAGGCCTGCTGTGGGCGGGAGCTGTGCACTCCTGCTCCCGCTGAGTGCCTGGCTAGGCCCGATCCCTCTGGCACGTGGCTGAAGAGCCTAAGGCGGGCGGCCATGGCCCAGGACAAGGTCTGTCCCGCTGGGTCTCACTCCCCGCCTCACCCAGAGCTGATGTGGACGATGGGACAGCACAGTGTGGGGAGACAGATGGGACTCCTGAAGAGACTGAGAGGCGGCGACAGGCCTACCCGCTGGGACCCAGACTCCCCTGCAGCCCCTCCCGCTCCGCCCCCCAAGGACCCGCTCACTACCTTCACGGCCCCGCCCGCAGGCAGGTGGCCCACGTTGTCCAGGGACCCCACCTTGGCCTGGGCCTTCTCCTTGAAGTTCAGCTTCTGGCTTTCAATCTTGACATCCCCTCCGCCTGGAACCAGAGGGCAGGTTACAAGGGGCAGAGGCAGATGCGCGGTCAGGCGGCAGTCCTCGCAGGACCGCGGCACAGCTGCTGGCGGGCGGGCGCGGGCGGGCGGGCGGGCGGCCTCCCCTCTGCATGAACACCCGCCCCCAGGGACAGCGCGGCCCGCAGCGGCCGGCACCGAGCAGGGAAGCGACTGGTCCTAAGTCACCGCCAACAGTGCCTGACAGCCAGGATGGCAAGGTGGGCGGGCCCAGCGGCTCACCGTCTCACTGTAGTGATAAGAGGCGGCACAGGCCTGGGCCTGGGAGCGGGGGAGGCCGGGGCGGGGGCAGGCAGGGTCAGGGTCTGGAAGCCTAGAAGGGTGGCTTTCCTTCAAGCCGCCTCCTCTCAGCTCTCCGTCACACACTGACCCCTGGTGCTCGCCACACGGCCAGGGGCCTCCACACGGAGCCGCCTCCCGCACAGCTGACCTCCAGCCCGTGGCCCCGGCGGAGGTCCACAGGGGGCTCCGGGTGGAAGGGGGAGGAAGAGCTGTTGGGACCCTCCCGGCTCCCGCTCCCTGAAGGACAGGGCCGCTGTGCAGGGGCAGACAGCGGGTGAGAGCCCGCGGGCCAAGCACCAGGGCAGGGAGAGACGCTCACCGGGCTTGTGCTTGATGTTGGCCTTGGACCCACACTTGGAGGAGACCTTGGAGATGTCCACCTTCTTGCTCTGAATCTGAACCTGAGAAGAAAGTGACAAAAACCAACACAGCCTCAGAGGGAGGAGGTGCTGGCAAGGCCAAGGCCAAGGCCAAGGCCAAGGCCAAGGCCACCCTCCCTTTACAGCCCCGGCATCCAAGTTCAATGCTTTCTGCCCTCTGTGAGCTCCGATCTCAGTGTGTTCAAGGTCAGGGTCACCCAGGAGTGCTTGAACAAGCCCTTGATCCATCCTGGCCCTCGTGTAGCCAGACCAAACTGCTTCCACGCGCATCACCGCCCCCTCCATGCAACCGCCAGACACCTCCCTCCCTTTTCTGGATCCCACTCTCCTGACACCCCAGCCCAGAGTCAACTACAGCTCCGTTCCATCTGTCTCCTTCCAGTTCTTTCCAGTACATCCCCCACCTATCAGTCATCTATCACCTTTCTATCAATCATCTATCATCGATACACGCATTAGGTAAGGCGGCCAACAGGCTCTCGTTGACCCTGCCGTGCGGGAGCCTGGCAGACAGCCTGGCACCGGGCCACAGGCATGTTTTCAATTAGGACGCAGAGCCTGGCTCTCCACAGCCCTCCCCCGGCAGGGCCCTCAGAGCTGCCAGCACAGCCTCCGCCTCCTGGGGCTGTCACCACAGCGCCAGCACCGGCCGCCAGGCCTCGTCCTCCTTCTGTGTCAGGAGCCAGGGTCTCCACCGTGTGCCCAGGGGACAGAGTTCCCACCCACAGCCCGGCCTGGCACGGAGGCCAGCAGCTCCCCACCAGCAGCCGGTCTGAGCCGCAGGCCTGCACTTCCTAAAGCCTATGACGCGCTTTCCTCTGAGCGGAGAGGCCTCCCGAAGCTCCGAGACCCCCAGGAGCCGTCTCCTCCAGCTGCCCAAGGCCACAGCGCACAGAAACGGATCGGGAAGCATTGACGAGTCCTCGCCGAGGCGCCTCTGCCCTGAAGGCCTGCCCCGCACTGAGGCCGCCTCCCCTCCCCACGGCTCCAGCACCAGTTCACAGAGCACCAGAGCCACAGCCACTGCCTCCCCTGCCAAAATGGCTGCTCCTTGGCAGGATCCGGGAAGGTCCTCTTTCCGCCAGAGACGTGGCGGTGCTGACAAGGAGCTGATGGCGCACGTCCCTGCACCGCCTGCAAGGCAGGAGCTCCCCGAAGTGGGGTGTGTCCTCGAACCCCCCACTTCCTGACCGCGTGCCTCGTTCCCAGAGCAGCGGGTGAGGACGCTCACGTGGACACGTCCCAGCAGCAGCGACAGGAGCCTGCACCGTGGCTCAGGGCTCCGTGTGGGGCACCGACACGACCTGGGAGAGGGTGACCGCGGTTGTGGGTTTGACTCCCACTCAAGGGCACAGACCTGGGTTCCAGGTTCGATCCATAGCCCCAGGCAGGGCATGTGTGGGAGGCCACCAATCAACGTCTCTCTCTCTCTTCCCTCTCTCCCTCCTTTCCACCCACTCTCCCTAAAGCTCGACGGAAATATCCTCAGTGAGGATCAACAACAGCGGTGAGAACAGGGAAGCCTGCGTCAATCTCAAGACAAAGGAGAAAGGAACATGTTAAATAAGGTGACAGCCAACAGAACAGACTCCAGGACCGCACAGCCCCGAGCGGCTGCCCCGAGCGGCTGCCCCGAGCGGCGGGGCCACGGGAGGGAGGCACGGCAGGAAGCCTGAGCGAGAGGGCACATCCACATCATCCCAGCTCAGGACCCGACTGCATCCCGATTCAACATGCAGACCCGCCCCGGGCTGTGGCCTGCTGCCTGCACACGCGTGCACTGAGGACTGCTCGCCGTGCAGACTGCAGACGGACTGTGGCTCGCAAACGTGGAGACTGCCACAAACCAAGGAGCTGGCCAGGCACAGCCCCCCGTCACTGTCACTCTGGCCAACATGGGAAATCTAGACGAGGGTCTGAAGGCTCCACTGCCTCCGAGCTGGCCCTCCCGGAGCGGAGGCCCACAGCCGCGCCCCTCCCCCCCCCCACGCGCAGCTTCAGGGCGCCAGGCGCTGCTCCCACGGTCCAGGCTGTGCTTCTCATGGTCAAAGGCGGGCCCCCAGTGAACCCTGACAGCCCCAGGGCCCCAGTGGAGCCCCAAGCTGTGCTCTCACACAGCCAAGTCCCAGCCACGGGCCTGCCAGCAGGTCCAGGCACAGTCCTCAGGAGGGTGAAACGGAGTCAAAACTGCCGCCAAGTCTGAAGGTGGGATCACCCACAAAAGTAGCTCTAAGTTCCGTCCCTGTTCCCGACTCTGCCCCGGGGGTGTCTGTGGGGGTGGGGGTGTCTATGGGGGTGTGGGTGTCTGTGGGGGTGTCTGTGGGAGTGTGGGTGTCTGTGGGAGTGTCTGTGGGGGTCTGGGTGTCTGTGGGGGTGTCAGTGGGGGTGTGGGTGTCTGTGGGAGGTGTCTGAGGGGGTGTGGGTGTCTGTTGGGGCGTGGGTGTCTGTGGAGGCGTGGGTGTCTGTGGGGGTGTGGGTGTCTGTGAAGGTGTCAGTGGGGGTGTGGGTGTCTGGGGGTGTGGGTATCTGTGGGAGGTGTCTGTGGGGGCGTGGGTGTCTGTGAGAGTGCGGGTGTCTGTGAAGGTGTCTGTGGGGGTGTGGGTGTCTGTGGGAGGTGTCTGTGGAGGCGTGGGTGTCTGTGGGGGTGTGGGTGTCTGTGAAGGTGTCAGTGGGGGTGTGGGTGTCTGTGGGGGTGTCTGTGGGGGTGGGGGTGTCTGTGAAGGTGTCAGTGGGAGTGTGGGTGTCTGTGGGAGGTGTCTGTGGGGGTGTGGGTGTCTGTGGGAGCTGTCTGGGGTAGTGGAGCGTAACCCTGCTCCCAGCCTGCCCCCAGTGGGAACTGGGGCACCTCTCCGAGCCACATGCCCATCTGCAGGCTCCACGAGGGGCTGGCGGAGGGCGAGAGCACGAGTCCGGCGCTCATGGCCCGCAAACAGCTCTCGGGCAGGACCCATGCCCTGCTGTTCCCAGGAGCCCAGACCAAGGTGCTTTACACAGGACGTCCCCCAGGAAGGCCTGCTGAGGCCACAGCAGGCGGCAGGTGACGCCTATGTTCAGAGCGCTCACACCGCACACACACAGCGCATGTGTCACACATACACCCAGTTCCCCCGAGACCTTGCTCGTCCTGTTTCCATCAGGCCCGAGGCTGAGAGGAAAAGTGAGATCCAGGCCTTTGAGTGTTGCCCACAGCCCTGGCTGGTGTGGCTCAGTGGATAGAGGGTCATCCTGCGAACTGAAGGAACGCAGGTTCGATTCCAGTCAAGTGCACGTGCCCGGATTACAGGCTCAATCCCCAGTAGAGGGCGTGCAGGAAGCAGCTGATCAATGATTCTCTCTCATCATTGATGTTTCTACCTTTCCCTTCCTCCCTTCCTCTCGGAAATCAGTAAAATATGCTAGTATTTAAAAAGGAGAAAAATAAAAGCAAGTGTCGCCCACTTCAGCTGACCCCACACCAAGCTGGGACAGAGGCAGAGCTCCTGCCCACAGGGAGGAACACGGGGAGGCGGTGTGGAAGGGTGAACAGGGGGCTGTGGGGCAGGAGGGGGCGCAGTCCGGCTGCGTTCCTCCGCCAGACCCGCCCTGAGGGCGCTTGCAGTCACCGCAGGGGCTGGGGCACGGGGCCTGGACAGCACTGGGGGAGCGGGCAGGACTGAGTCCAGCGGGACGGCTCTCCAGGGCGGGACAGAGCCGGGGGAGGAGCAGGAAGGGCGTGAGGTCTCCAGCCCCGCCGGCCCGGCCCGCTCCGTCCCGCACCAGCGCTGCCTCAGGGACACATGGCAAACGCACACGGCACTCTTCCACACGGACCAACAGCCTCCCCGTCCCCGCAGCACAGGGCTGGGCGGGCACGCAGGAGCAGCCTGACAGGCTGTCTGGACGGGGCAGGGAGAGGGGCAGGGCGAGGAGGAAAGGACCAGGGAAGGAATGAACGGGGACGGAGCAGGAAGGAGTTGGTCCGGAGACGAGGAGAGGGGAGGCGGAGGAGCTGTGTGCGGACTCCCTGCCCTACTAGGACGAGGAGGCCAGGAGGACCTGCACCGCCCAGGCTCCCGGAGGGCAGGCCCCCGGGAGCGGCCCCTTCTGGGAGCAGCCAGGCGCCCACGGGGCTGACATGCGGAGGCAGTGGCGCCCGTGGCACAGGGTGTGGCTCCTCCGTGCCCAGCGGCGAGGACCAGGGCCGGCCGGTACTTACGTTGCCGCCTCCAGGGACATGCTTAATATTGTCCTTGGAGCCGCACTTGGACTGAACATGGCTGTAGCTCAGTTTTTTGGAGACTATCTGGACCTGGAGTGTCAGAACAGAGAAAACAACACAGAGGGGAGGGCTGGTTACTGACAGGCGGCAGGGAGGCCACACGGGACCACGGGACCCGAGAGGGGTTAGAACTCCGCTCCCACCTCCAGCAGAACCGCGTGGGAAGCAGAGGGAGGAGCCTGAGGAGGAAACGTGAGAAGGACAGTCCGCGAGGACAGAGCAGATGTTTACAAAGTGCCACCTGGCGCTACCGCTGCTCGGCCACTGCCTGCTCCCCGAGATCTCAGCGCAGCATCCTGGCTCATCCCGGCCCGGCCCGCCCCAGGGAGTGAGAGGCCTGCCGCTGGGAGCAGCAGGGGCAGTGGGCTCACTGGCACAGTCCTGGACACAAGGGGCGTGGCCCACAGCCAGCAGCTTCCTTGGAAGCCCGGGTCGTGGAGGGTTCAGTGGGGACGGGGAGGCCTCCAGGCGCCCAGTCCTGTGGCCGCACACGGCCCTGCACCGAGCACGAGCGGCTCCGAGGCCTTCTCAAGGAGCAGCGCCAGCTTCCTCCTCCCTCCCTCCCTCCATTTCTCCCTTCCTCCCTCCTCCCCCCTCCCTCCCTCTCTCCCTCCCTCCATTCCTCCCTTCCTCCCCCCTCCCTCCTCCCTCCCTCTCTTCCTCCCTCCCTCCATTCCTCCCTTCCTCCCCCCTCCCTCCCTCTCTCCCTCCTTTCTTCCCTCCCTCCCTCCCTCCCTAGCTTCCTTCCTTCCTTCCTCCCTCCCTCCATTCTTAGCTCCCTCCCTCCATTCCTAGCTTCCTCCCTTCCTAGCTTCCTCCCTCCCTCCCTCCCTCCTTAGCTTCCTTCCTCCTTCCTTTCTTCTTTCATTCCTCCCTCCCTTCTTAGCTTCCTTCCTCCCTTCCTAGTTTCCTTCCTCCTCCCTCCCTCCCTTCCTTCCTCCCTTCCTAGGTTCCTTCCTCCTCTCTTCCTTCCTTCCTCCCTCCCTCCCTCCTTCCTTCCTTCCTTTCCCTTCTGAGCTCTTTGCGGATAACACAGCTCCCTGGAGCAGAGAAATCCAAGCTGACAAACTCCACCCCAACGCCTGGGCATTGCTGGCTTCTTCGCAAACACTTCCCAGGAAAACCCTGCCTGCACCCAGGCCCGGGGTCACTCAGAAGCCACGGTGCACCTTCCTCTCCGCCTGACGGACAGTCCTCAGGCGGAGACCATCCTGGCTCTCAGAGGCTGAGCCTTTGGCCAGAGGCCACCCAGCTGCACAGCTAGAGGCTCCCACAGCAGGCAGCAGCCTCTGCCCTCCAGCTGGTGCGTGCCGTGCTGGGTGGGCTTCCGCTCTAAGGGGCACCCTAACTTTCTGCTGAGACGTGACGTGGGGGGTCAGGACAAACCAAGCCCTGCCATCCCCAGCAGCGTTGTGAGAGGGGCCTTCTAGTTCGGCTTAAGCACAGGGTCCCTGGGACTCCGGTGCCAGAAGATGGCAGTGCCCTGCCCTCCTGAGTGTGAGTGTGAGTGTGAGTGCGAGTGCGCGCGGTAACAGTGGGATGTAGGTCAAGGTCAGAGTGAAGGAAGTGGTTGAAAGCTGCAGACCCAGCTGAACATTTAGGCCCCAAAGCACTAACGAATCCGTTACTCAGGGTTGGTGAGAAAGACGAGCGGCACCGGGAAAGCGGAGCTGAAGGACAGGAGGAGCAGGAGGCGTGCTGTGCGTCGGCCTGCAAGAGGCAGGCCCGGACACTCACTTTGCCCGCAGGTGCCCTCTGTGCACTCACGCCGGGGCCAGCAGGCTTAGTGGCCGAGTGAGGGTCAGGCTTTCGAGCTGCAGCTGCTGCCTCTGCTCTCTCCTCTACTTTGGCCTAGACGGAGATAAAGGAAGGGCACATTTCAAACAAGGACAGGAGCCCAGGTGCCAGAACGAAAGAAATCCAGGCCAGACAGCGCAGGTGGCCCTTGCTCCTGGGAAAAACACCCATTTCCCAGGGGAGACCGGCCAGAGGGAGGAGCTGCAGACAAAGCAGCAGCGAGGAGAGCAGCGCATCAGAGACCTGGCAGGCAGGCGGGCCCCGAGCCGCTCCGCGCTGAGCGTGGCCGCGGCTACCCTTTCCAACACGAAGTCCTCCACTCCAACGTTCTATCTGCCCCAAGCCCGTGCTCACAGCGAGCCACTCCTGGGAGCGCCACGCCCCTCGGGTGTGTGGGACAGAAAGCGGAACCGCCAGAGCGAGCCCTCAGCTGCCCCCACGGCTGCACGCGAGAGCCTAAGGGGCGTGTAGGGGGGGGGCCCAGAGCCCGGCCCGAGGCCCTCACCCCTTGGCGAGGGTCTCCCACCGCAGCAGGACCCTGCCTCCCCGGGCGGGCGGCGCGGAGGGCTGGGGGATGTGGACGACAAGGCTGCGCCAGGGACCTGGCAGTGGACTCCTGCCTCCGCCACCTTCGTTGCTAACAGTGAACAAGTGACTCCAGGACGGACGCAAACAGAAAGGCCTGCGGGCGGGTCCTTCGCGTGGGGGGCCACGGCCACCAGGACACCCTCCTCCTCCATAGCCGCTCCCACCGCCCCCCGTGCAGGGGAGACCCAGGACCAGCCAGCAGTGCCCCCCTCCCTGCAGTCCGGCGTCTCCTCTGGTCACGTCGTAAAGAACCTCTTGTCGCCACGTGAACTGAGAGCCTAACCCACACCCCGAGCAGAGCCTGAGGCATGGGAGCGAAGGCAGCGCTCAGCCCACCTCCCAGTCCACCCCTCCAGTGCCCGGGCTGCGGTGAGGACATGCGGGGACGGCGTGACGCGGTGGGAAAGAAGCCAGTCCAAGCGAGGACCCGGCCCCCGGACCCACCCGGCCTCCTCCGGGCTGATGCTTCATGTTCTCCGTGGAGCCGACCTTGGCGCGGACGTTCTTCAGATCAGGGATGGATGCGCCGGCCGCCGGGCGGCTCAGCCTGGGGGCCGACGAGCTGGGCCTGGCTGACGTGGGCTTCTTGTCGGCGGCAAGAGTCCCAGAGGGCCGGGGAGACACGGGCGTGGGCCTGACACGACCGGGAGCCGAGCCTGCCGGGGAGGCCGCCCCGGGGCCAGCGGCGATCCTCTTCGAGGTGCTGCTGGAGCTGCTCTTGGCGCGACTCAGGTCAGCTGGAAGGGGGAGAGGGGGCTCAGGGAGAGCCTGCGGAGCCGGGGAGCCACAGGCCTGGGCTGAAGTTCGGGCCCCACCGTGTGGGGGGCGTTACCTGGCGCAGACTTTGTCACCATCTTCTTGACGTCTGCAGACTTGCCCTCAGTCTTGGTGCCTGCACAAACATGCCTGCTCAGTACGCCTTAGCAAACGGACCTGCTGAATGGCACATTCAGCACTGGGACTCACTCATTCGTTCATTCATTCATTCCCTCAGCAGTGCCTGGGTGTCCGCCGAGCCAGGGGCTCAGGTGGCCTCGGGGACAGCCATGCATTAGACTACGTGAAGCCACGCCTGCTGCAGGGCACAAGGGTGCATCCTGTCTCCTGTTTCCCAGGCTTGCCACCGCCTTCCACATGCCTCAGGAAGAGGCAGCCAGCATGCGCCTAAGGAGTCAGGAGGCCCGTGACGCCCTGTGCTGGTGCCATGGACACACTGGGAAAGGAACCACGAGTCTCCCTAAGTCAGGACAGTCCTCTTCACTCACGGTTTCCTGAAGACACGTGCCTGCCACCCTCCCCGGGGACCACGGCTGCCACAGACCCGCTCTCCTCCCCACCGTCCCCCGGGAAGGGGTGGCCATACTCACCGGCGGGCCTCCTGGGCAGGGGCACGGGGGCGCTCCTGCTGCTCGGCCCAGTTGAGGCCACAGAGGCGGCTGCGGGGGCCTTTGGAGCCGCCTGGGTGCTCCTGGAGCCGGGCCTGGAGGCCGAGGCCGAGGTGGGCTTGGACGGTGTGGCCTTCTTCTCGGGAGCCTTTGCCTCTGCAACAGGCTGACAGCAGGAAAGGGGGAGTGAGAGCCGCACGTGGGCAGCAGCCCAGCGAGTGCTGGTGAAGGGCACTCCCAGACGCACAGCCCGAGCGCAGGGCCCGGGGGAGTCACTGACAGGCCGCACGGGGCAGGGCCCGGGGGAGTCACTGACAGGCCGCACCGCGGGGCAGGGCCCGGGCTGGAGTCACTGACAGGCTGCACCGGGGCAGGGCCTGGGCCGGAATCACTGACAGGCCGCACCGGGGCAGGGCCCGGGCTCCAGGGAGTAGAGACACGGCCAGAGGGTGGGACCTCAGGAACAGTTCCAGCCAACCGCCTGCTGAGAATGAATGGCCCTCCCCAACGGGTGCCTCAGGCCTGACTGCGTGAAGCACTGATGTGCTTGGTGGACTAAATACTTGGCCAACAGTGAGCAGATCATAAACAACCAAAACTTTACACACATCTAGTCAAAAAGGAGGACCATGTGACACTTCCAACAGGGAAGGCAGGAAGAAAGACGTTCAGTCACTCCCCCTTCTTCTGGCTTAGCCACTCCTGTGGGAGCTGAGCGGGCCAGGCTGCAGCGGGAGGACCCAGGCCCAGGCTGCCCCCAGCTCAGTGCTCTGGGCAATCGCCGAGTCCCTCTGGGCCCAGTCCTGTCTGCACACAGGCCGGGCACAGGCCGGAGAGCTCAGAGAACAGGTGACGGCGGGACAGAGGGTGGGGTCGGAAGCCCAGCCACAGACCCAGTGGCCTGGGCATTGAGCTCCAGAGAGCTCCCTCTTCCCTCCTGTTCTTAGGCAGCTTCCCACAAAGCCAGAACCGCAGCCAGCGGGGTGAGTGAGGACCACAGCGTCCCGCTGACGCTTGATCCTAGAGGACTTCCAGTTTCCTGGCCAGGATCTAACCTGGGTTACACTTCCCGGCTCCGCCAGTTTTCCTCACAAGGTCGGGGTCAGACACTCGACACTGACCGGAGCCTGTTTCCCAGGGTGACCTTAAAGACGCCAAGCTGATGTCCAGCCTTCCCCCACAAACTGAGCTGTGGAACTCTGTGAGGCCAATGCTTTCTGGGCAATAACGTGAGGGTGAGCTGGCGCGGCCCAGGGCGAGGTGGCCTGGAGCCAGAGCATAGGAAGCTGCCAGTGCTGCACCCTCGGGCCCAGCGGGAGAACTGAGCACAGGGGAGGGCCGAGTCCCTCCGCAGGATGAGGGACGGGAGGACAGAGGGAACCGCTGGGGATAAGCTGCGGGAATCACAGCAAACATGGAACCTGGCAGCTCGTGGAGGAGGGGGACCTGGTGACAGCGGGGAGCAGCGGGGAGGAAGGGGAGCGGGCGCAGGAGGATCCCAGCACAGGCAGAGCTGCCTCAGTCAGGCAGGGAAGTACGAAGCACGGAGGCCTGCCTCAGGGCCCCCAGCAGACTGTCCAGCCCCTTCCCCTGGCCTCCCAGCCCCACTGGCTGACTGCACGCGGGCAGCAGCGGGGAACGCCTCCAGCCTGGCCCGCCCGGGAGCTGCCCTGCGCAAGCTCAGGCGCCACTTACCTTGGGCCTGGCGTCCTTGGCAGGCGAGGCAGACAGCCTGGCGGTGGTGGCCGCAGGGCGTTTGGGCGGGGCAGCGGGCCCCGAGCCCGAGGCGGGGCTCATGGGCTTTTTGGCCAGCCCACCCACGGTGGCGGGCACTGGTTGCTTAGGGAGAGAAGTGGGCTGAGTTTTGGCTTTCGGTGTCGAAGTCTTTGCAGGATGAGTTGTGGCCGAAGGCTTTAAGTTGATTTGTTGGTGTGGTTTTTTTTGTTGTTTTTTTTTTAATAGGCCAACATCAAACACATAGACAAGAACAAAAACAAAATGTAAAAAAAAAAAGTATAAATGGCACAATTCAAAGCAAAATGATAAGCAAGGAGGAGAGATGCAATGAAAATGAGCATTCCTTTTTTCTGAGTTCAGTCAATAGCAGAGAGGCACCAGGACGGAGAGGAATGGGGACTGTTTCTCACTGAGGTGCCACCAACTCCAGCAGCTTGCCACCTAAGCTTTAAGTTTCGTGCAGCCCTAACACCAACTAACTTCCGGTGGCTGTGACAATTCTATGGAAAGTGGCCAGCAGGAGATGCGGTTACCATACCCTGCACCCCGGGGCATTCCGCTTCCTGTCAAACACCACACGAACGTGTGCATTTGGAACTTTGCGATTAGTACCAATTCATTTCTGAAGCCATGCCTCACCTTAAAAATTTGTGTTCCCTTTCATGAATGCAGATTTAGAATCTATTTCTTTTCTTTTTTTGGTTAAGACTCACCCAAGGATATTTTTCCATTGATTTTTAGAGAGAGTGAAAGGGAGGTGAGAGATACAGAGAGAAATATCGATGTGAGTGAGAGAGACACATCAATTGGCTGCCTCCTGCATGCACCCTGACCAGCGCTGGGGTCAAGCCTGCAACCAAGGTATGTGCCTTTGACCGGAATCAAACCTGGGACCCTACAGTCCGTGGGCCGACTCTATCCACTGAGGCAAACCGGCTGGGGCTAGACCATTGGAAAGTGTTCTGTAATTCCTTTTGCTGCTGTTGAGAAGCAGAAACAACCTCTGCAGAACATTTCTACAGATACAGGATAACAGGGTCAAAGCAGCGATGTGAAGGTCTGAGGCCATTAGGTAAAATGGGGATATTACCATAATATGAAATACATCCAAATTTGAGAAAAGACTAACAACAACTCAGAAAAAAGAAACTTCACTCACGACCCAAGCAAGACTAGCTGGAGGCCCATCACCAGAGCGACAGCGGTAAGAGGTGACCCACCATTCTGGCCACTACCTTGGCTTTCTTCTCGGGGCTGGGCGGGAGCTCCTTGTTTGGAGGGGCCGTGATGTCATTTCCGGTCGTGCTCGCAGCGGCTGGTCCTTCTGGCCGGGGTACTCCTAGGGGAGGAAGCTACGCTAAGCAAACGGCTTCCACACCCATTGCAATAAGGCGCGTCTCAGCAGACACAGCGAACAGCGCTTTGCTCTGAGCGCCCGCAGGCTGAGGCTGAAATGGGGACCAGGCTCCCACGCTCCCTCACGGGGCTGGGGGCTCAGATTCCAGAGATCCGGCCAGCCTGTCCCCGGGGAGGCAACCCAAGTGGGGTTTGCACAGGTGATCAAGGGAGGAAATGGCCTTCCAGTCCGGCTTCCCTCCCCAGAGACAGACAGGCAAAGGGTTCTGTTGCCCAACCGCCAATCCCAGCGCGCACAGGGAGCCTCCCCTCATGGGGTGTCTGCGGATAAAGGGCACAGATGGGCTGCCTGCCAGGAGATCACGCATGGCTCCTCTTCCTTCCTCTCCCTGTGAAGCACACTGTGCAGGACGTGAGCTCAGCGCGATCTCATTCCGGCAGTGACCCTGTTTCCCAGCACGGCAGGGACCCAGGAAACCGGACCCGCCGAAACAAAGCCTCCCGCCAGCGCTGCCAGCAGCACCGCTGCGGCCCCTCCAGACTCCACCCCCCAGCACTGAACGCCACCGCACTCGGCCTGGACTAGGGGCACCTTTCTGACTCACAGCGTTCAGAAGCCACAAAAGTAACTTAGACCACAGCAAAATAAAACCCTCAGAGGCCAAAATAACAAAAAGTCAAAAAGCAGTGATAAACAGGGAAAAACACACCAAGTGAATTTCACATCAAAGACAAAGAAATTATTATGTAAATCACTCCTATAAATCAGCAACTCCTATAAAGACCAACAGCCAGTAGAAAAGTGCCAAAGTACGAACAGTTATATAAATACAAATCCAGTCTGAAAGAAATTAGGTCCAGTCTTTAAGAAAAGCGAAAATCAAAACTACCCAGATATGCTACTTCTAACCTAACATATTGTCAAAAGTCCTGAAATTTGAAAGTAACCGTGTGGACAACATGAGGATATACACGCTGGCATGTGTACGAAATGGAACGCAGGGCATTCTCGCAGTATCTCTGAAATGACAAGCCAGGTCAGTTCAAATCCAGAAACCCAACTTCCCAAAGCCTACACCTCAGGGACGCAGCCATACACCTGCACAACAGCCAGCATCACGGTCTGCTGTCCATCCTCACCCCAGGACATTTCCCACTGCTTGGAGAGAGAGAGGTAGGGCAGAGAGACAGAGGGAGAGAGAGACATCGATTGGTTACCTCTGACCAGGGCCAGGGGTTGAGCCGGTGACCAAGGTACATGCCCTAGATTGGAACTGAACCTGGGACCTTTCAGACCACAGGCCAACGTCCTATCCACTGAGCCACACCGGCCAGGGCCAAGATCGTGGTCTTTTATCAGAGCACTGTTATTAAAAGCAAAGACCTGAAATAATCCAGACATATATTAATAAGAAACTGATTATATCAATGTAAACTCAGAACAATCTCTAAGCGAAAAAAGGAAGGAAGAAAAAGGCCAGGCACAGAACAGTATGTGTAACATGAACCATTTGTCTAGAGAAGAACAGGAAAAAATACATTCCTATTACAGTACACCTATATGTGATTTTTAAATCTTTGGGTGGGCCCAGCCAGTGTGGCTTAGTGTCAGCCTAGGCACCAGGAGGTCACGGTTCGATTCCCAGTCAAGGCACAGGCCTGCGTTGTGGGCTCCATTCCCAATGTGGGGCCTGCAAGGAAGAGCCAATCAGTGATGTTTCTCTCCCTCTCCCATCCTCTCTGAAGTCAATAGATACATCGAAGGAAGAAAACAGCAGCGCCATGCCAGGCGGGCAGCATTGCCTTCGCGGGGCAGAGCTGGTGTCTGCCCAGTGCGCCATCTGCCCGCAGCCCTGACCTCTGGGCACCCCCAGGGCCGGGATCTTCAGGGACAGCACCACCTCCTGCAGGCCTCGCTGCCGAGCCATGACCGTGCAGCCCCTCGACCTGCACGGCGAACGCCCCAGCCAAGAGCACGTGCTTCTGCCACGCCCCGCATCCTCTGCCAACTGTTAGCAACCACCACCTCTACCCCCCAAGCTAAAGTGTGAAACAGAACTCGTTAACTGCTCCTCTGTTGGACCTTCTCATTACTACCTGCGGGGAAACCCAGGGTTCAAAACACCTCTCTCTCTCCCTCTCTCTCACACACACACACACACACACACACACACACACCCCGACCTCTCCCCCCCCCCCCACACACACACACACGGACCTCTCTCTCTCCCCCTCACACACACACACACACACACGGACCTCTCTCTCTCTCCCCCTCACACACACACACACACACACACACACACACACACACGGACCTCTCCCACACACACACACACACACGGACCTCTCTCTCTCACACACACACGCACACGAAGACCTCTCTCTCTCCCTCACACACACGCGCACACACACACACACACACACACACACACACACACACACGGACCTCTCCCCCCACACACACACACACACGGACCTCTCTCTCTCACACACACACGCAGACCTCTCTCTCTCTCTCTCTCTCTCTCTCTCTCTCTCTCTCTCTCTCTCTCTCACATGCACGCAGGAGCACGCGCCTTACACAGCACCCAGGGTTCCAGTCCAGCTGGCCCAGCTCTGCTGCATTTCCCGTCGTGGCGCGGGGACTGGATCTAATGGCCGTAACAGGATTTTTTGCCGCCAACCCATCGCCTCTCCTCCAGCACGGTCTACCGAGCACAGGTGAGTGTTTCTGCCACAGGCAATCCCACCTTCTGAACACCAGGGGACCCTGAAGCGCTGTGGGCATTTGACACCTGGGCTCCAACCACTTCCCAGACTCCCCCTCCCCCCTCACAGGGGGAGGAAGTGAGGGGGCTCTGGTCGCGCTCAGCCCAGCCTGCACCCCCCAGGGCCTCTGGGGCAGGGCCGGGTCTGGGCGGGAAGCTGCTATCAGCCGGCTGCCTATCAGCCTGTGGCGGCTGGCAAACAGCCGGGCCAAGCTGCGCCAGGAGGATTCCTTTACCGCTCTTTCTCTAACCGAGAGAACTTCAGCTCAGGAACTCGGGTCCCTGCGATTTAAGGTAACGCAGAGTAGGACACAGAGCCCCAACTGGGTCAGCCAATGTCCCGTACAGACCAGAGCCACAAAGACAGCGACAGTGAGGACGGCTTCTGGAGGGAAGAGTGGGCCCGGGTGAGGGAGCAGCACAGGTCCCAGAGGGACGCGGTGGCTGCAGGGCGGCTACCCTTCCAGTCGGACTCGGCAGCCTGTCACGACGTCCGTGAGGGAGCTGCTGAGTGGTTCCGGGAGACTGCCCGCAGAGTGGCCTGGCTCTCCAGGGGCGGCCCGGGCTGCGCCTGGGTCAGGCCCTCCGCCCGGAGGCTTTCCTCGGCGCCCTCGCCACCTTTTCCAGAAAGTTCCCACGATTTACAAGCGCTCTCCCCAACGCTCCCAGCCAACGGGGTCGTGACCAGACTGGCGTGTGGCAGGCGTGCTGACCGCATTCGTCCGCTCACAGCACCGGGCAGAACCAGCAAAAACCAGCAAACAGTCACCGGTGAGGGATCGGCGCTGGGGTTTGCCAGCCGTTAACATTTTCCATCAGTATGGACTCCATTCAGCCCGAACCCGGATGAGCTTGTTCTGAAGAAACAAAATCACGCATCACACCGCGAAGGCCTCGGCGCCGAACTGGGCGGGGGGCCTGTCCAGACAGGCCCAGGCCGCGAGCAGAGCCACGGGAACCTCAGGGACCCAGCCCGCTCCCTGTCCGCCTCCATCAACAAAAAAGCTCCTGCCAGTCTTAAAGGTCCCCTCCAGCACCACTTCCCTAAAACAACACTAAAATCTTTCATTAAAGATGTCCTGAGAAAAATATTAGAGGAAACAGTTCCCAGGAAAAGAGGCAATTTTTACAAACAAGACCCATTCCTGTCAGCCAACTCGCTGGTGAAGGACGCACTCAGCACTGATTACGTGAAGTCTCCTCTCTCCTGTCCTTCTCTCCCCACCAGTCCTCCCAGCCCACACCCAAAGGGAAAACCAGAAGCAAGGCGGGCGCCGCGGGCAGCGGAGACACAGTGACCAGCCAGCGAAGGGCTCTTCTCAGCTGGCAGCACAGTAAGATGGCAGCGGCTCAGGCAGCCCGGCTCCTGAGGGGGAGCTGGCGCTGACAGCCAGCGAGCCTCCGGCACGGCAGTCTCAGCAAGATGTCAGGCCAGCGGTGGCTGCCGGCCTAAACAAGGGCTGGGGAGAGGGGACGAGGCGAAGGAGGTCCAGGAAGGCTCATTTCTGATGCCCACCACCTCTGACCCCACCCACCCTCCCCCGAGCCCACGCTATCCGTGCTGCCACCGCGCTCCTGGGACTTCCCCCCGAGGGATTCGCTCCCGGCCCCAGACAGGCCGCCCGGCTGCTGCCTCGCTGCCTGCTTGTTCCTGTGGAGGCGAGATCAGGAACGTACCATCCCGCAGGGTCTCAGGATCAGTGCTGGCTCCAGGAGCATCCTCCCGCCCCTGGTCCCGGCTGCTCGCTGCAGGAATCCGCTCCAGCGCACCCCGGAGACCCAGCCCTGCAGCGCCCGGCTCCTTCCTCCCCGCACTGCCGGCGCCGCCTCCGCTGCTCAGAGGGGTGGCTGCCTCCCTCTTCTCGGCCTCGGCTTCCTCGCAGGTGGAAGGAGGGGGCTCTTCGGCGCACGGGCTGGGCAGCTGCTCCTCGGCCACGGTCATGGAGCGCCTGACGGCAGGAGCCCCCCGGGGCCCGGGCGTGGGAACGGGCTCTGGGCTGCGCTCTTCTGGGGCGGGGGGCTCGGGGTGTGTGCCTGCCAGGCTGGCAGCGGGGGGCACTGCGAGGTGGGAGCACTCAGACAGGGCCCGGCGCACGGCCTTCCGCTGGGCGTGGGCGAACACAGCCCCCTCCCCAGGAGCACGCCGCCCCTCCGGCTCCTCGTCCCGCTCTGGGGCCTGAGCGCTGGCGCTCGAGCTTTCCTGGGGGACCTC